AGTCTCCTACACCCCCCAAAACCAGCACCTGGCTCAGGAGCTCACAGAAAACCACACAGACAACCCCCTGCTGCTGCACTGAGACCTGCTGGAGCTCAGGTGGGGAGAAGACATCTGCATCAGGCCAGGAGGAAGGACGAGTTACAAACAATGACATTCTTCTCTGGGCTGGGAACTACCCAGCACAGTGAAACTTCCTCCAGGGTTTCAGCAAGTGAAACCTGGCCAGTGCTGCTTCTCCAGCCTGCTCACCACATCCACTTAGTCACCCCAGCCTCCCAGCAGGAAAGGTGAGAAGAGCCGGCTCCCCCCTGGGACACACAGGGAGCGCAGTGCCCTGCTTTCCCTGGACAATCCCAGCCAGGAGCCATGCCAAGGTGAACAGGGCTTCAAGAGATTCAGGCATTTAACACAAATTCTTACAAAAAAAGTTACAAATCTTTTAATAAACTCCAGTATAAGTTACAGCTTCGTGGAGAACAAGCTCCAGTGTATAATAAAATAGGAGACAGGCTGGGAGGAGCAGGGGAAGCACCAACAGGAACCTCTTTCTGCACTGGAAAGAAAGAGGGACAGAAAGATTCTGACAGACATTTATTGAGGGAAAAATAGTGGTCCAGCGGATGTAGAAAGACATTAGTCCACATGCCTCTTTCTCAGCCCTCCTAAATCTTTATCCCCAAATGTAAAAATATAAGAAGTCCTGTTTAAGCCACATATTTTAACAGTTCCAGGTAGACCGCAGTTCCCAACAATTCTGAAGATATTAATCTTGTGCAGCCCAGGGTACCAGCAGGGCTTTCTGAGAAGCCGAGGCAGCCTCCTCTCACTACAGGTCCTTGAAGCTACCCAAGGCATGGAGTCCTGGTGTCCTGGCTTGTGTTTGATGAAGCAATCCCAAGGGGTCAGTGCCACATTAGGGAAAGGGCACTCCAACCCCCAGCAGGCTGTTGTGGGCAGCACACTGCACAGAGAGAGTGGGGCCAGCCAGCCCCAGCCCATAGAGCTAGTAGCCAACAGCACACATGGGTGAAGATGTGACAGTCGACTCGGAGCCCTCCTGTCAGCAAAAGGCCATCACACACAGATGGAGCAGCTGACAGCTTGATGCTTAGATGAAAAGCTGAAATGAAGTTGCCAGCCTACAGGGCTTTGTGGGGCCCTCCACCAGGCAGGTCGCCTCATGCAGCACAGACGTCTCTCCACTCAGGTCCTCCATCCAGCCCATAAGGCACCTGGGCTAGGCAGGCAACCAGCCAGCAAGATCCCACTTCCCTGCTGTGCTGTGCAGGGGGAAGATGGACACATGAAGAGAGGTGAAAATCCAGCCAGACCAAGGGGAGCTTGGCCACCTTCATTTGCAAGTGAGGAGGGGAGGCTGTCACTCCAGGACAGCCATGAGGAGATGCAGTTCCCGAAAGGCACTACCATGGCGGCCGCTGAGCCCAGACTTGTTCTTGATGATGCTGCTGATGTTTTTCAGCTGCTTGTAGCACAGCCTGCATTTATGGAGCCTGCAAAAGCCAGAGAGCAGACACAGCATGAATCCTCAGCTGCTGAAGTGCACCAAAGATGCAACATAAACAGGTGAGAAAACACAAGCCCTGTAAATGGCTTGGAAGAGGCTAAAATGTGAGAACGGCTCTGCAGAAACACCATGTATTCAGCCCACATGATGATGACACAGGACAATGGCACTCACATAAGGGCTCTTTTACTCCTCCTTTCCCCCTTGGCAGTAGAGTCCAGTGAGGAAAGAGGTGTTGTTTTCAGAGGGCCAACTCTCAGAGCAGAGCTATCCTGTGAATAAACTGGAAATCCAGGGCCCAGCTGACAACTCATGTGTCTTGTGAGGCAGAGGGTGAAGCCACAGGGTGGTTTTACTCCTGACATACTCACACTTTGCTTAGGTATGACTCAATACACAGTGACAGACAGAAAAGCAGTCCTTGGTCTTTTCTCACGGCAGGAGGGTTTGGTGTTGACAGACAAAAGGGAAGGCATGCCCAGTCTAGTATCAAAGCCTCGATGGCAAGGAGCAAAGCTCACCCAAGAGAAAGGCTGGGTCAAAAAAGGGAGCAAGTGGAGGAGGTAAGTGCCTCACCTTTCCTCTCTGGTGATGTCCACTCCAACAGAAGGTGGTGCAGCAAGGATGTCCGTGATCAGTGGCAGGAATCTCTGGAGAATGAGTTTCAGGGAGGTGCAGCCAGTCTGCACGTAACTGTAAAACAGAGAATCGGGTCCCACTTGACTTTCATTCCTGTCCTCCCAGCACACAGCTATCACTCACATCCAGTCACTAGGGACAATCCACTCAACCAGCCCCTCATCCATCATCTGTAACCTGGTAAGGAGAGCAACAGCCAGGTGCCCACACATCTTGGTTGAATCAAGACTGACAAACTGAGTTCTTTCAAAAGGTCCTGGCATATTCTCTGCTAAGTGAGACCTTTCTGCTCAAGAGCAGAGGCGTTCTGCTGAGAATAGCATCTTAAGAAAGGCTGCACATTTTTTGCTACCCAATGAAGTTCAAAGCAATCCAAGTGACCCCCGTGCAGGATTTCACTCCTCTTGTTCCATGTCAACAGTCTCATTCCCATCTGTGTGCAGAGCCCACTTGTTCTACATGGATGTGACCCCTCTTGGCTGCCAGAGCTGCCTTCAATCCAACACACCTACTCCAAATCTCAATATCCTGCTCTTCCTGCCCATGCAGACTTCCCATAATTCTTCCCCCACACAACTGGCAACTCCATTGCCCTTTTCCAGGTGTTATATTGGTATCATATTGTATCTGCTGTGATATTTCAGGATGTTCCTTCAGCTACGAAACATGAAGGGGAGTAATTCTAGGGGTATCTCCACCTTGTCCAACAACACACCATATTTTTGGGGCCTCACCTTTCATATTTACTTTGGAGTAGTTTTTCTATCTGTGGCAGGACTATAGTACACAAATCCAGCTTCCAGAGAGACCTGAAAAGAACACAAGGTGAGACAGATTCTGAGGTTTTAGAAGGCTGAGTTGACACAAATAATGCTTTCTGTCAAAAAAATCCCAGGCAGCAGCACTCAAGTTTACTGAGCAAGTTCACTGACTCTCCCTTGTGATGGGAAATAGAAGGTTCTGATGTGTCTTGATTGAACAGAATCACTTTATGAAGCCCTCAGTGAGGCACCATTTGCCCACTGAAAGGGCCCCATGCATCTTCAGTGGTCTCGAGTGCTGCAGGCTTGAAGATCTGACTACAGCACATACATTTCATGCTGTCATTGCCCACTAGATACAAGGCAGGTACAAAGCACCACTTCTGACACCAAGCTAGATGACTCTTAGGTATCCCAGGGGCTGCCCCTACCCAGGACTCACGGTTTTTGGTTGACAATATTCAAGAGGTCCACAACAACAGACAGATCATTGATTGCCACTGCAGAGTCCACAGAGTTCTAGGAGAGATGGGGAAGAAGTCACCAAGTGCAAAGCTCAGACTCGCTAGGCTAGTGCAATTAGTATCAAGCGTTGCTTTTCAAAAACAAGGTAGAGGAAATGTGGAGTTCGCTAGGGAAGAGAAGACAACTCTTTTGTGAGAAAGTTTTCTCCATATTTCTTTGTGGCCAATTCAAGTGCATCTGGGACACAGCAGCCGTCTGCCTGGGGACAAAAACTTTGAGACCCTGCATTCTGTGCAAGAAGCAGAACTGGCCCCTGGCAAGCCAAAAGAGCTGTTCAGCTGCTCCCTTCACATAGAATTACAGACTGGTTTGGGTTGGAAAAGCATTTAAAGCTCATCCAGTTCCAACCCCCTGCCATGGGCAGGGACACCTTCCACCAGACAAGGTTGCTCCAAGCCCCGTCCCAGCTGGCCTTGAACACTGCCAGGGATGGGGGTCAGCCACAGCTTCTCTGGGCACCCTGTGCCAGCGCCTCAGCACCCTCACAGGGAAGAACTTCTTCCCAAGGAGAAGTCTCAGACTCCCCTCTGTCAGGGTAAAGCCACTCCCCCTCTTGTCCTGTCTCTACAGACCCTTGTCCAAAGCCCCTCTCCAGGTTTCTTGTAGCCCCCTTAGGCACTGGAGCTGCTCTAAGGTCTCCTGAGAGGCTTCTCTTCTCCAAGCTGAATAAGCCTCACAAGCCTTAGGTATCTCCACATCCTTGCCTTGATATCACTGGAGCTCCACACAGCCTGCACAGTGTCCAGATTCTTGTGGCGACTGGTGAGCACCACACACATGGTCTCGTGGCCTTTCCTGATCTGGGAAATGGCTTCCTCATCCACGAGCTCTGTCTGGCTTTGGTTTTTCACAGCCTGAAAGTACAGACACCAATGGAGCAGCAACAACAGAGCAGGGTGGCACAGAAACGTAGGAGCTTTCTCTGGCTAGGTGAGAGCTGATTTTGGTGTACAGAGTCCCAGCAAACACTGACTTCCTTGCAGATTGTTTTAAAACCATTTTGAAATTGAAATGCTCAATTTGTTCTGATTTAAGTTACTTCTCTTCAGCCTTTTCTACTACATCAGTCACAAATACGATTGAAGCTTTGGAGAAACTCTCAATTTAAAAAAGGTGAATTAAATGGAAGTTTTCAAAACCAACATATTTTGATGAAGAAATGTTTTCATACACACCCTATTTTTCACTTGAAACATTCAACTGAATGTTATTACAAAGCATAAATCTTACACCATTTATTAGCCTCTTAGTTTGATTCCTGCTCAAGCCCTGCTGGAACCACTACTTCCTTTGCTCACATTTCGAGTTTGGATTCATGTGGATCCTCTGGTCCTTCTCTCTTTTTGGGACAGGCAATACCCTCCCCAACAGAGGCCAAGAGGCCTCCAAGAGGCAAAGATTGCCTTGAAATAATTATGTATGTGTAATGGCAGACACCAATTTTCTAGATGAATCACTGTCTAGCATGCGGAATTGTTCAGTGTCTGAGCCCTATCCCTCACTCTCTGCTTTGATAACACATTCTTTGAGCACAGATCAACACTGCTGTGTTTACATTAGCCTGCTGTCAAGCGCAATGGGGACTATGTCCAGCAATTCGGAGGTATTTATTCCACAGAAACCGCATGTCAGAGGAGCTGGGAGGCAGGAAAGGCACCAAGTGGGTGGAAGGCAAGCAGGAGGTAACATGTTCTCATTCATTACTGAAGACTGCAGGCTGCAGAAAGCACCCAGAACACTTACACATCAGAGAACCTCCTTTCTGATGCCACCCAAACCACACACTAGTCAGAAACTTTTGTCCAGAGATACTTACTGGTAGAAAGTCAGAGGCCTTCAGGCCAATGGGCTCATTCCTGGCTGCAGGAATCACCAACTGCTCTGCTCTGGTCAAGGGAGTTGAAGAGGCAATTGGTGGCCTTTGAACTGGATCAGGCTGCAGAAGAAATTGGGATAAAAGCTCTAGCAGCATCAGACTGGCCATAGCCTGATGTCCTTTTTTTCCTGATCTGCTTTCCTTTCACAGCACGGTCCTAATGCAGAATCAGTCTCTGATTCACTAGCATAGTTTAAGAGGCAATAAAGTATCTCTCAGGTACATGCCAAGATGTAATTAAGCTTTGCAAAGAACAGGGAGATGGCCCAGCAGAAGTGCCAAGTGCTGCCACTGGTATCTAAAATCACGGCAAAAGGCTGCAGCCAGCCTGAAGGCTGAGAGAGAATTCTAGAGAAGCAAGGATAACACATCCTGCACTCGATCCTCTTCAGAGGGTCCCAGTTTTGAGGTATAAGCAGAAACACCACTGCAAGTGCAAGAAGTGAACAAAAGCAACAGAGCCATTGCCTGTTGGAGGCCTTGGCCTTTGACTCTACTGCTCAGGCAAGACTCAGGGCAGGACAAAGCCTGAAGCTGCACTTTTACTGCTCTTCAGTAAAGGAATCAGCTTCCTTAGAAACTGTAAAGTCTTGAGCACTCATGTATCTTTCACAGTGGGAGCATGAACAGCTATTAACAGATCAAACAATACATACAAGTTCTTGCTTTGGCAACAGCGTCTGGACATCCGGAGCTTGGCTGGGCTTCACTGCTTCCTTTGCAGCTATGGGCTCTATCAAGGGAAAAAAGTGAGAAAGCAAAAACTGATTGTTTCTTTCAAGAGAAGTTGATAGCAAAGTTACTGTACAGCTCGATTACAAGTAGTTTTTTCTGCAGACATGGGCACGCAGCTCTCCCTCGTTTGACGGTCATTAACCCCATTCTCCCCAAGAGGTAGTTTTCATACTCACCATCCTCAGGGGGGGCTGGAAAGGGTTCACTGTTTCGAGGAGGAGTACGACCTACAGAGAGATAGAACAGAATAAACAAAAAAAGAAGCATCCAAGGCTACAGATTAGCAATAAGTCAACCTTGGAACTGGGAGACCTCCAGAACTCCACACATTCAGGTCATCAGCAATATGACAAGCAGAGTTATCTCCTTCAGACCGTGACGCTGCTGTTGAGTTTAGCCAAAGGCTTTCAGCCTTCACGGACGGGAGGAAAAAAACTAACCCATGTAATTCATTGCTGCTGTAGAGGTGTGAAGCACTGCCACAACAAATTGTATCAGAAAAAAAAAAAAAGAAAAAAATCACCTCCTGATAAATTGATTTACATAAATAAACCCAAATAATGACTATTAATTCATTAAAAGGAGTATCTAATTTTTGACATTCACATAAAAATGGCATAGGCCTTGCATTATGCTTCCTAAACAACTACTTTTGCTTTAACAAAACATTTTGTCTTTCCTTCTTTCATGGAGGCTGCTGATTTTATACATAGCACAATTCTAAGCTAATAAAGATCCCGTAACACAGTAGTGCTCCCTAATCAAAACAAGAAGGCAGCATGGTTTGCTGTTGTGGCTGCCCCATCCCTGGCAGTGTTCAAGGCCAGCTTGGATGGGGCTTGTGTCCCTGCCTGTGGCAGGGGCTTGGAACTGGATGAGCTTTGAGGTCCCTTCCATCCCAAACCAGGCTGTGATTCTATGCTTACAATGGAGCTCTGGATTCTGAGCCGGCCTTTGACCTGACATCACTGCACCCAGTAAAGGTGCTACCTCCTAGCAGTTCACCAACATTGTACGTGGTTCAGTGTCCAAAAAAGCCATTTCCTAAATTCTATCAGTCACAGACAAAGCCTCTATGATAGTAAACCAAAGCTCACTTCTACTGAACCAGTTTACACCCTACAGCTCTAATCCAAACACTACTCAACAGCATAATACATCCTGGTACTGACAGATAGCATTCTTGGGCTGGAAGATCTCATTGTAATCATCTGGGTTCTGGATCTCAGCCTTTGATTCCTTCTCATCCCGGTCATCTTCACTGCTGGGACTGCGCCTCTCACTCTCTGAATTGTGCTTCACTCTGCTGTGGAAAGAGATGCTGTCAGAGGAAGTAATATGGACTCTGTCAGAGAGGAAGCACAAAGCTCCCTGTACATTTCCTTAAAATCTTGAAATCCAACAAGCTAGCAGATTCCCTACCTTTGTGGCTTGCTGCAGCTAGTTGAGGGCCTGTCATAGATGCGGCGAAGGGAGGACCCCATGGAGGTAGGTGGCACAAGAGGTTCATCATCCCTGATTAGCCCATGAGGAATAGAATCTGACTTTGTAACTCTGCTGAGATCCACAACGAAGGAAGAGACTGTGCTTTGTGCAAAGGAAACACCTATCTGCAGAGGCAAAAGACTAAGGTAACTCACCCGGGAACAGGGTGAACACCCTGAGCCTTTTTCAGAATAGGCATGATGCAGTGACCCTGCACAACTGTTTGAGCATTTCCCAGCTAGGTGCTTTGGCTTTTTCAGTTTGAAGCTGCCAGTGCTTTACAGAAGATTGTAATAAGACTTTTGACAAGCATGGTTTCTAAATACTGGTCAAACCAAGCCGCAGTGGAGCATGAGGCTGCTGAAAGCAAAAGCACACAATCTTTGTCTAAGTGCTAGGCACGTGGCAAGCTCTGGTTGCTTACAGTCTGATAGAACCTTTAAGGCCTGCAAGGAGGCAGAAGGTTTTATCTCATGTTTTGCAGCTGCCTGCCCTCTCCTCAGGAGCAGTGGCTTACCAGCTGGTTGTTGCGGACAGATAAATCAGCTACTTTTCCCCAGTTCACCAAGACCACATCAAAACAGCGCTCTGGCTCCCAGCCATACACACGCAGCGAATCCTGGAACCCACTATACAAGCAGCAGCCATCTGGGTTGAAGAGCACACACCTGGGAGGAAGGCAGGTGGAAAATCAGACACACACAGTCTTCCAACCTTCCCACAGCAACCCCAGGGCTGTATCCCTGTCTTCACTGAACACTTCCAGCTCTGTGTCTAACAATGAGCCTAACAATCTGATGGACCTGGGCAACATCTCCAGTAGCCCAAACTTCTCCCCAGTAAAGTCTCTTTCAGGAAATCCTCCCTTCAGCCACACTTTAATCTCTGCCTTGGACATTGCAGTAGGAATTTAATATACCTGACTGGAGTAGCCTCCTCTTCAATACAGCTCACCACTTGAAACTTCTCTAAGTCCCAGAACCGAACAGTCCTGTACACAGAACAAAATAAAAATCATCACTCATCCCTCTAGAGATCTGCTGTAGGATCCATAATTGAAATGATGCAAAAACTGCTAGATTTGCTTTTGCTATCATGCACTTATAATGACCCTGCACAGAAGGCCAGTCGAGCTAAGATACATGAATCCAGCCATGGATACTTAGAGGCTGTAGACATGGAAAGGTATTTATTGCTGACCCAGAACTAAGTTAGTTAGTTAGTCTGCTAACTAAGCAGGACTGCTGGCTATTCAGGATGTCAGTAGGATTAGTGAGAAGCTTGAGGTTATCACATTATTCTCTGGTGTGGAAGAAAGGGCCACCAATTTTGGATGAGAAGGTAAGACCTCCATGTGCTGCACACCACATGTGATGTGCTGCTGGCTATAAGTCAGGCTTTTGCAATGGCATGTTTGAGTTATGTGACATTCCTATTTTCCACATTGCTAAAAGCAAGGGTGTCAGGAAAGTGAACAGTAAATTCCTTTCTTTCTCCCTCCCCTTACGTACCTGTCAGAGCTACCAGAAGCCAAAAGGTATTCATTGGGATGGAATTCAACAACGTTTACTGGGCCAGTATGTTCTGTAAATTCAAACACTAGCTTCCCAGCCACGAGATCCCACAGCTGGAAGAAAGAAACAATAGAGACTCTTGAAAGGACTTAATGTTAGAGAATTCCAATACACTTCAGGTTTCCTTGTACTGGGAAACCTTCTAGTGCTTCTTCCCCTCTAGGAACAGACCCAGTGATTAGTGAAGGAGTACAATCCCAGTCATCTGAGGCTGCTTTTTAATTGCAGGGATTTTTTTGGTTGGTTGGGTTTTTTTGTTGTGTTTTACTTGATACTTTTCTGAATTCCTTCTCTTGCTCTGCTCATCCCTGACAGCAATTTTCAGAGAGATAATCATGTGCAATGTATATGATATGAAGACAGGTTAAGAAAATTGGGGCTGTTCAGCCTAGAGAAGCTTGCAGGGAGACCTCAGAGCAGCCTTACAGTATCTGAAGGGGGCTACAAGGATGCTGGAGAGGGACTCTTCATCAGGGACTGTAGCAACAGGATAAGGGGCAATGGGTTTAAACTGAAACAGGGTGAGATTTAGGTTGGATATAAGGAAAAAGTTCTTCCCTGTGAGGATGCTGAGGCCCTGGCAGGGGCTGCCCAGAGAAGCTGTGGCTGCCCCATCCCCGGCAGTGTTCAAGGCCAGGTTGGATGGGGCTTGAAACAACCTGGTCTAGTGGAAGGTGTCCCTGCCTATGGCAGGGGGTTGGAAATGGATGAGCTTCAAGGTGTCTTCCAAACCAAACCTTTCTATGATAACACAATTCTACTGAATTCACTGAGCAAAGCAGAAGCTGGTATGGTGAAGCAACATGCTGTGGACAACTCATTCTGTAACATCTACTGAGACGACTGAGGCCACTGTTCAGGTCTTACAACTCTCATCACCACCAAAACTTGGATTTTCATGTGCATAGTGCCGAGATGCCTGTTGGATAAGTGCACTGCAAAGCATGCACCTCTCTTTAGCATGTTGTGGACCACTGGACATGATCCTCATAAACAGACTGGTCCTTGCAAAGCCACAGGGCTCAGCCAGCTGCTTAATTAACTAAAAGTGTTTATGACCGAGTGCTGGTAATGCCTGGTAAAATATGATCCCTGCATTCCTATGCACCATGAGGATATAAGGAGGTGTCACAGTAAATTACCTTTACAGTGTGATCATCAGCAGCAGAGGCTAACCACTTCCCATCAGGACTAAAGCGGAGACATCGAACTGCTTCTGTGTGGCCCTGAAATGAGAACAATAAATAGTATTTTTTTTTCCTTTTTTTTTTCCTCCCTTTCTTTTGAGGGAATTCTGGCTTTTGTCTTTCAATCCTATGCAACATAATAAAATAAAATAAAATCAACTGACTGTTTCACAGAGTCCACAGCTCATAGAACTCTGAACACTCACCAACACTAAATGAGTGTAGACATTACCGGCAACACTTTAAGTATGGTAAATACAGATCAGACTTATTAAGAATCAATTTAAAATTACACAGATTTATGGGTGGTCACATAGAAGTGTTGTTCCACTCAGTTGGTTTCTAAATTAAAAAATATACAGCAAGTCCTTTGGGTTGAAAAAGACCCCAAGAATAGAACCATCCTGGTGCAGTGGGGACTTGTATGGTAGTATCTGTCACAGTATAAAGTAACACTTATAGATGCTTTCCATCCCGCACTAACACAAAAAACACAGAGTATATTAACTCCTATGGCGTCCATTTCATGTTCCCATACAGCTCACAGGGGCCTGCAGAGGTTTGCCAGGCCACTTCACAAATTTTGCAGATCTTATCTTCATACTGGAAAACTAGCGAATTAATTGTACATAATCACTGTAAAGCTTGTTCACAAGTCCTCAATAGAAATCTTTCCCCCTCTCTCCACCTGAAAACTAAAGAAGCATTTTACCTTGTACCTGAAGACACAGCTTTTTTTTCTCACATCCCAGAGCTACAGGGAAGAAAGCAAACAAATGATGTATTTAGACCAGTACGTAGGGAGCCCAAGAGTCCCGTAACAAGAGCTCTCCCTGTAACCAAGCTGATATGACACTATAGAATGAAAACACTGAAAGGGCTGTTAACTCCTATTTGCTTTAGGGGTATTTCCTAATCTAATTCACCAAATGAGAATCACTTCTATAAGCTATTTCTTACTACAGAAGCTCGGTTCCTACAGTCTAGGATGAGCGTGATGAAGAAGATGAAATCCACAGCAATCAGGACATCTGAGCTTGGCAACACCAGGACTTGGCTGGCACCATGAGCCACATTCCACAGCACAGGAGTCACACTCCTGAGCCACCTTTGCAAACACACACGCATAGGTTTCACAAGCACTCACAAATCCACCTGCCCACACAGATGGAAATGATGATGTGCAGCATCTACCATGAGCTTAGCAAAAAACACATTCTGGCACTTTTCAAAAACAAAGATACTGCACGTAAAGAGTGCAACCTCTAGGAGAAGATGGGGTTTACCTTAATGTTTGTGTCCAAAGAGCCAGATGCCACAATACTTCCATAAGGATGGAAATCAAGGCTGCAGATATTTGCTTTGTGACCAAGTAAGGATCGAAGAACTGGGAAAAAAAGCAGCAGAGCAGGAAGAAGGAATAGGGAGCAAATATTTAGTAGATCATTTCCCCCAGACACCATGCAGAAGTTCAGCCATGCTATCCTCACCATTAAGCACAAGCTAATGCAACATACATTAGACACGCTACATATTGTATACATTATTTTATGGAAATGTTTCTGACCTTGTCCTTGTAATGCAAAGAAACAGGAATAGAAGGCCCATGTTCCATGATCCTAATGAAAGTCCTGTCCTTAAGTGTGAAAACTGTGAATAAAATTTCAGAGGCCTCCATGCTGAAAATAAAACTGAAAAGCCACGCTCTGAGGCAGCTGCTAGGCAGCTTATCTTTCCACTTGTTACAAAGAGAGCAAAATGGGGTAAAGGAAGGGACAACAGTTTTAGTCAGGAAGTGAAAGGGACATTTGATTGCCTGCATCGTTTGGAAAGACCTTTCCCAGGACTCTGCAGTCCCATCCAGACACAAGCCTAACTTCTGTCTCTTAGGTTCCAATACTCTCCCTGGACTTCTTCAATTGCTCCTTGCAAAAAACATCCCAAAGACTGGGAAAGAACAGTTGAGAAGCATGAGACAGAGGAATGATCACAAGGTTTCAGCAAATCATCAACCAAGTAACACCCCTTCTAATTCTGGAAACCAGAAAGGACCAGTAGAACTGGAATACCATATCTCTGAAAGTAAGGACCCACCTTTGAGGAAGAAAAATTGCACAGATAATAACAAGGGCAACCTCTCTCCATCATCTGTCATCTGGAACAGTCTGATGATGCCCCTGGCAGAAATTAACTGAGCTAGAGCTAGAGTGGTCATTTGCACAGACACTGGCTCATAGGTGTCCTAATAAATTCAGCCAGATCAGCTACTCTACACTGGTGGAGCCAAACTATTTTATTACTGAACTGACTCTTAACTGTCTGAATTGCAAAAGTAGCTTTCATTATTTATGCCACCTGCTGTCTGCCTTCTTAGCTCAGCCAGTGAAAGTCTATCTTCATTACATACTCCTTTTATGAACAAATAGTAACCCATAAGAAATAGCCAGTCATTTTACGGATTCCTGCTAGAATGCATTCACGAGATGCATGATTCCTTTGCAAACTTGTTCTAGGATTTGAGAAAAATGCAATAAATAAAGCACGGCTCAGCAGTTGGCCTTTAAAGGATCAGATCTTGATGAGCTCATGGCTTTTATGATTTATTAAAAATTAGATCTATCATGCAAGAATTGGAGAAAAATCGGTTGAGGAAAAAAAGAAAAGTTAGAACCTAAGAATGAGAACAAGGGGTCAGAAAGCAAGGGATTCCTGGACTTGTGCAGAAAATATATAATATAACAATATACTTAAAACTTCCAATTTGTCAACCTCAAAAGGATCCAAAAATCAATTTTAAGCTGAGAGTCTGAATACAAATTCTATATGGTAGTAGCAAATTCTATATGCTCTACACATGCATGGAAATTCACCTGGAATATAAAACTCAACACACTTGAGTCAACCCTAGAAACTAGTTCCTCTCCACAATACATATACAGATTTGTGCTTGAGTGTGCATACACAGCTCTACAGTCTCAGTCGGAAGTGCACAAAAATTCTCTAAGACGGATGGAAACTAAGATGAAAGCAATGCCAGGCTCCTGCTCCTTTGTAGGAACCTTCTGGGTTAGCATATGTATAAAGCATAAGGAAGTTATAAAAAGCATGTATTAACAGAACTCATGGAAACATACTTTTGGCAGCTTCCAGGTCCCAAACTCGAATGGACCCTGACTGTGACCCTGCAACAATCAGTTTCTCATTCGTATTGACCTGTAGGCTCTCAATGGGCGATGTATGGCCTGTCAAGCTCTGCAAAAAAAACCACAAGTTACCATCAACAGCTACTGACACAGCCCTGCCCACAATGGCATTGTTCATGTAATTATCTGTGAGCTGGAACCACCTAGCTATGCCACTGCTCCTTCTTTCACATCAGCTACCATTATGGTAGAACACCCTAAAGACCAGCTTTTAACTGCCTAAGGGGAGATTGAGATGAGACCTTAGGAAGAAGTTCTTCCCTGTGAGGGTGCTGAGGCCCTGGCACAGGTTGCCCAGAGAAGCTGTGGCTGCCCCATCCCTGGCAGTGTTCAAGGCCAGCTGGGATGGGGCTTGGTCTAGTGGAAGGGGTCCCTGCCCGTGGCAGGCAGCTGCAACTGGATGAGCTTTAAGGTCCCTTCCAACACAAATCAGTCTGTGATTCTATAATTCTCTATGATGTCCATCACTGCATATAACACCATGCATGTATCTTCCACATCATCTCACTTACTGGGGCACACTGACTAATTTTGAAAGGATGCATCAACAGAGACATGGGTATTTAAACACTAGGTGTGGGTGCCGAGACAATGTTGACACACACATTATAACAATTATGCTGTGCAAGCTCAAGGCAAGGTGTTTACTCTAAATTGGTCACAAAGTGTCATGAGCCAGTTACAAAATCAAAGCAAGAGCACAAGCAGGGCTACTTCAAAACCTCCCCATAAGCAAGGAGCTCCAGTGTTGCTGCCCGCAGTGGGTGTCACATTTATAACCCGGTGCTATTACAGAAGTATAACTTGACATCTAAAAGCTTCCAAATTAGGTAAGTATTATGAAAAGACCCGTATTTAATTAGAACACAAGAATATTTAAAATGAGCTTTAGAAAAATCAATAGCATTACTCTTTTTACTTGTCAATTAGGCAATATTCTATGCTTTATTCCATCCTCAAATAGATCTTTTTAAATAGCTATGCTAGCTAGCTACACACACATACAGAGGGAACGTACTGGGAACACCAGTTGGAAGCTGCCTGTTTTGACAGGGCTTTTTTAGGATTTCATGTGCAACCGAAAACCTCTCCATAACTCTATTGCTGCAACTATCACTGCTTAGTAAGAGAGCTCAAACTGGAATCAAGTCACAGTGCTACTTGAGAAGTTCCTCTTCGTCCTGTTCCCCCATATGTAAATTCCATCTGGAATCCTAATAGTAAGACTAAAAATGAAATTCAAAGGACAAACTATAAAGCACAACCCCCAAAATCAAGATTCTTCTCATATACAAAAATGGCACAAGCCCTCAGCAGCTCCAGCCAGCCCCTGCCTCTCAGAAACCAGCTTCCAACATCTGTGGCTCCCAGGAAGTGCAGGAGAAGTACAGCTCTCTGCTCCCACAGAATGGGTACAGACATTCAGTCCTTCAACCTTCTTGTGGGAGGCAACACTCTAGTTTCAAACTACTGCCATGCCACCACCAAGGGCTGAGAAGACACAGCTTAACTATGCTTTGCAAGCAGTACAGCACTGCCAAAGGTGAGAAACTCCTTTTGCACCTGTTTCAATCTCTCTATACAGTAAATGAATGGGAAAATAAAGTAGACACATTCTCCTTTTAGCCTCTTTCATCTTACTTTCCCAGTTGCTTCCTCACAAGGTTCACGCTGCTTAGAGAAATGCCATCCATAATGCAACATTCTTGCAGTGTTAATTAAGTAAGTGACAAGGGACACTGGTTAAAGACAACACCCACTCAAAGCAAAGGCCATGCAGGACAGACATCTGTTAAACAGATTTCTGGTTGCTTTAGTGATCACAACTGGGGTAACGCTACTCTTTGTAACACACTGTGCCCAGCACTACTCTTCTCCAGCCTACAGACAACTCTGTGCAACAGTGACTGGGAGAAAGGTGGGAACGCATCCTGCCGGGTCTGCTTCCTGCTATGAGGGCAAACTCCAGGGTATAAAATTGGGCCCTGTAGCAGGCACTTTCAAACTAGCTGATCTCACACAAAATTCTGCATTCAATTATCCGTAGCCTGTAACAGAAGGCACAGTATTCATTGTCTGAGCAAGTACTGGCCCAGCTGAAGCAGCCAGGCATCCCAGATCCTCTTTGGAGCAGTGGTCTCAACAGTTACTGAACTCTGTCCCTATCTCTTGCTAAAATCCAGTCTTTGTGCGGTAAACTCTTTTCACAAGTCCCACAGGCTACAACCCAACAATCCTCCCCCTCATTCCCCATCCTCTGTACCTCAGAATTAATATTCCCATCCCCCACAAGTTGAAGACAGGCCTGTTCTTACCATGATGCAATTGGGCTTGTTCACTGACCATATGTTGACTCGACAGTCATCTCCTCCAGTTGCCAGCAGCTGGCCTGAGGTTTTGCCCAGGACTAGTGAGGATACATTGCTGCTGTGAGCTGTTATCTCATCTGGACAAAACAAAGCATACAGTTATTACAATTTTCATCCCATCCCTCCCCCAAAAAATATTCTTCCTTCAGAAAAACTTTCCAGTTTCCACTGGACAAGCTGCAGCAGCTCACTGTTCAGATAAGAAGTCACACTATTATCTTGCTTGAAACAGCCCTCCCTTGGCTCTGCCTGCTGTAGGTAAGACATCTGCTGACCAAGCTTCACAACTCCAGTGCTCACGTGGCTTACAAAAAGCATCTTCTCTCACTAGCAGTAGCTTGGTAGCCTTTGAAGATTTGCTCAACTGTGGCAAGCTGCTCACAGGAGCTGCTTTACCTTCAGTATCTGAGTGGGTCTCGGTAAGCAGAGCTGTCTGAGAAGCTGCGAGAATACGCAGCAGCCAGAGTCATCTCGTGAACAGCCTTCTAATCCTGTTCTAGAAAGCAGCAGCAGGCCGTCCAACCTGAGAGGAACTGGCAGATTAGCAGCAGCGCAGTTTGTTACCCTACACAGAAAAAGCCAGACTCAGCAGCGGGGGTAGGTGGAGCTCCCTTCTCCCAGCTTTGGCAGAGGCTTTGCTATGGTCCCACTGCTTAACACAGGTGAAACTTAGCAATGCAGCATGTGAAACTGCGACAAAGGAAGAATGAATATATATCCCAAAGTGCACAAAAGAACAAATGTAATTGATACCAAAAGACTTCAAAAACTGGGGGCTGAGGGAAAGCTTTGACACTGAGAGGGCTTCGCAGTAACAGAGCTCTAAGACAGCCTCATCATAAACAAGTTAGGAGCAAAGGAAAAGCCAAACTAGCATCTTTCCTTCGACATCTGATTTTCACAGTGGATTTTTAAACCCACTCAAATTTTTTGAGGGGCTTTCAGCAGATGTATTTACCAATTTCTGCCTCTTACAGTTCTCTGAAAGTTCACAGGATTTGCATGCGTAATAGTTATGAAACTTGTCTGTGAAAAGCCAACCAATTCAGCTTTCATTTGGACTGTTTTGCTGGGAGGATAAATTTGATTATTTTACATGCAACACTAATCCAAAAGGACAACAGATGGCTGCAATAATCATTACAGGTACTTTGATCTCAAGCTCTCAGAGCGCTTTTTTGAAAGCAAAACTGTGCAATTTTCACTTTAGCTGGAGAAACAGCTTTCAACTGACAAAGGTAACTGGACCACAAATTACATGAGAAGGGCAAAATACGCTCGTTTTGTGTTGAAAGACCAATATACCATATGACAATGCTAAAGTATGGATGCATACAAAGACTTGAAGGTAACAAACAGTACAATTAGTGTTAATAGAGCAACCCACTAGTTAAAATTGAAAGGACAGACGCTCAGTGTTGCTGCTGGGAGGAGTGTGTCAGCACCTCTGCTGCTTCCCTCCTCTTAATTTCATTTTTAATAATAAATTTTAGGTGTAGGAGTCATTGCTGAAGCATTCAGCCCTCTATTCATAAAAGCCATTTGTTAGCCTGATGCCAGCTGTGGCCAGACAGGTTCATCCATCCCCCCAGTAAAGTGCCCATTTCCTTAAACCCACAGAGATTTTTGTTAATGAAGTATTCATCACCAGCTATCACCCACCAGCTCAGTCATACAAAGCTCCTAATTAGCATCACCAAAACATTCCTAACGTTCAGAATGCTTTTTGCTCTAAAGAGGAGCTAAGATGGGGAACAGCCTAACAGAAACGAAGATCAAGAACTTCTACCCACTTACGGAGAATGGAGATTGATCAACTTCCAGCTTTTCCTGTAACTGCAGGAGTTTCAGGGCTGGGAAGATAACATGGCAAACTGGCTTTCTGCTCCAAAAGATAGGAAATTAACTAAGTCAATTACCTCAGCTGCCTTAATGTGTTACCAGTCAAAGGGATGGTATTTCTGCTAGGCTATTTCAAGCCCCAAGTCACTGGTCTAAAGCTCACCCTTTCGAATTCTTCCCATTGCTTTCAAGCATTACACAACAGCCCCTATGGAATAACCCATCAGTGACTAGTGAAGCAGCTAGAAATGGACTGCAAGCAACTGTTCACTGCTCCTTCTGCGGAAAATAAGAGATGTAAACCAGCAGACTCTTACAAAGCAGCTGCAAGAGATGAGACATACAGGCCCTGCAGAGCTCACCTCATCCCTCCTGCAGCAAAGAGCTGTCACCTGCTGTCACAAGTGGGCAGCAGTGAAGGGCAGCCCCAACCAGGCCAACCTGATACCGACTGGGGCAACTCCCCGCTGTGACCTGGGCTCTGAGGGGGGTTCCATCCCTCCCTTGGTTGTTCTTGTGTACCACGTAACCCATGTGGGACTACCTACAACAGTATTAGAGCAGCGTTACAGCACCTCATCAGGAAAATACAGGCTGTGACCCTTTGCAAACAGCCATGACGAGGCCCTAAGCTGTTCCACTGTGCTACCGTGCTTTCAAAAGGGACTTGGGGAAGTTAAAAGTTCCAGTCAGCGCTTTGGGAAGAGGCCGGGGCACCCACACCCGAGGCAGGGATTAGCCG